TCATCCAATAGTTATGTGCTGTGGACTCTGTCTGACCAATCTGCTGTGATATTGGTACGTCTTCATAGGTTGTGTCGTTACAGGTTGTGGGCACGTGAATAATGATCTCGCCGTGTACTCATTGCGTACACGGTAATAAGAAAATAATTGTAATAATTGTACTTGCGTACTACGCAAGTACACTTTTGCCTCTCGGCTCAGCTGTGCTGTTGTGTTAAGCACAGTCTTGCGGGAATCATATATAGGTAGTAGGAAGCTGTTCTGCTGCTGCTGTATTGAGTGTATTCCTTCGAATAGTAACACTGTGGCTAGTGTTATAAATTGCGAAGCGAGCGGAGCATATACCGCAACAACAGGCACTTTGGCGTTGTGCAGAATTATTCTGGCTTCACTACGGAGCGCGGGAGGCTATCAGATAGATCAAACGACTCCTCTGAATGCCGAGGTGTGAGCAAAAGGTCCTGTGGTGTCAAACAGCCCAACGAATGATGCAAACTCCATCATAGTTTCCCCAACATAATTTCTTACATGTCGGAAAGCTTGGTCAACAGCAAGAGCCCGACCGTAGATGTTAATATGCGATATGATCCACTAACAGAAAACTGTGACAAGTTGGTGTTAACCACAAGCAGCTTACATCAAATATCCCAACAACATTAAATCCCGCCTGTTGTACGACGAGTTCGGGGTGGGTTAACATCATTTAGCAGCTGAGTAAAGCGCACATATATTTCAACACTGATAATTGTCATCCTCAGCGTCAGCACAGCGTCCATCAGCTACTACGAAATTGTTGAAATTGTCACCTAAAATCACTCCAATTTCGTCAACGATTACCCTTCAAAATTTTCAAACAAATGTGGCAACAACCACCAAATTTTTTTCGCGTCAAAAAAATCATATCAGAAAATTTCAACTCCATACCTGCCCGTGAGGCTCTGCCCGAATTTAGCCAAACCCGATTTTAACCAACTAAAAACCGCGCGCCATTATAATCTATTAATATATATATTAGCATTATTTTACCCAATCGCTTGGGGAACGTTTAAGCAATAACAGGTAGCCATGGAGAACACTTAAAAACATTTTGTTATGTAGAGTGTATGGTTCAGTGGTTAAGTTTCGTGTTTGTAAGTGCAACGGTATAGGGTTCGAACCTATGCAATATACTTTTAATTATTTCAGAGCTTAAATTGGGCTTTCCAGCCGCTGGGGGATTACTTTGGTTTCGATTTTAAGAGTTGGAATAGCGCGTTGGTTAGTCTTCGGTTCTGGGTAACCGGTGGCGCTGGTTCAAAATCTTGTAAGGACGTTTTTATCAGCTGTGTTCGATGCTTTTGTACCATTTTGAATAACTATATACAAGGCCCGATTTGGAGCTCGAAGC